GACTTATTTTTATCATATTTGCTTCAGATATTTTTAGTAAATAAAATGTTATAAAGTTCAAGTTTGAAACACCTCCTTGGTTCCCTTCTCTTGTCAGCTTCCCTAGAGACAACCATTATGAATTTGGTGTGTATCCTTTCAGTCCATGATTTTATGCATTTATGATATATTTGACATATATAAATCCATAATATTGATTTGTTCATGTTTTAAAATTTGTGTAAGTGGAATCATATACATGTATTCTTATTTTTTTCCTTCTGTCGCTTGACATTATAATGAATAAGTATAACTTACTTAGGTGTATTGTGATTCTTAATGTATTTGGACCTTTTCTAATGACTTATTTTGTGGCCTCTATTTATCATGTGTTTCCCTTTGCTTTGTTCTTTTCTCCCTTGCCTTTTATTTGTAAAATTTGCTTACTTTCACTTCTCCTGACTTTTAGGTTTATAGGTCCTACTTATTTTCTTAAAAATTTTAATGACTATATTTTAATTTTTTTTTTAACGAAGTCTAAGATTTTTCTTTGTCTGTATTGTCCTACAGAACAAAATCAAAACAAAACCAGGACCTTTAACTTCTGATCTGTTCTACTCTCATCTTTTGCAGTGGTTATTGTCTAAAACGGTGCTGTCCATTATGGTAGCCAGTAGCTTCATGAGGTTATTAACCACATAAAAAAAAAGAAATGAGCTGAATTTTTAAAACTTTAATTTTAATCAATTTAAATTAAAAAACTGGTATTAAATTCAGTTATTGGAAAGTTTTACATATGTTTGAAACAACCTGGATATGTAAAACCACTATAAGCTTTATGAACTCTAAATACAGATCAGGTATTCTTGGTGAAAACTTAGCACTTGAATGGAGATGTGCTATAAGTATAAAATACATGTCAGATTTTGAAAATTTAGTACAAAATGTTTGTGTAATATCTCAATAATTTGTATATTGATTACATGTTGAAGTGATAAAATTTTAGAAATATTTAGTTAAATAAAATATTATTAAAATTAATTTCATCTATTTCTTTTTACTTTTTCAATGTGGCTATTAGAAAATGTAGAATTACATGGTATATTTCTATAAGACAGCACTGATCTAGGAGTTCTATTGAAACTTTTAAATATTTAAACACACACAACATAGATATTATTATCTATAGGGAGTAGCTAATTAAATTTACCAACATATTTCATACATTTCTTCTTCTATACTTTTCTTCCACCTGGATTCATTTTTTTTAATTGCTGAATTTGATCCTTTAGTAATAGGTCCTTATTGAAAGAAAGGCTCTATTGGTCTCTACAATAGTTTGCCTTCATTCTTGAGTGATAGCAAGGTATAGAATTCTAGGTTGACAGTTTTTCTCAGCTTCTTGAACATTACCCCATATTTTGTTACCTTTGTAGTTGCTGGTGAGAAGTAATTCTTTGTAGATTATCCATCTTTTAACTCTGATAACTTGTAAGATTTTTCCCATTGTCCTTGACTGTAGTTTTATTACAGCATTTCTCAATGTATTTGTTCTGTTTGTTTCCAGTTTGTTCCTTGGTGTGAGCTTTCAATCTGGAGACTCATTACTTTAATTTGGAAATATTCTGTTTTATGTCTCTGCCGTCCTACTAGTACCTCTGTTCTCTGCTTCCGAAATAAGTAGTAGGTATATGTGAAGCTTCTCAATTACCCACCATGTTTCCTAACCTCTCTTTCATATTATCCATTTCTTTATTGCTCCTAGTTGCATTCTGGACTAATGCAACTTTCAGTAGTCTGTGACAATTCATTATTTCTATTACTATCCCTGGTCTAGTGTTTATGTTTCAAGTTTTTCTTATTTCAGTTAGCCTACTTTTATTTGTAATAAAAAAATTTCAACTGCCCGTTGATTTTGCCAAAGTTTAGGCCTTCTAGGCCAATAATCTATCACCAGGTATTCAGCAATCCACCTGCCTGCCAACTTGCCCTCAGTGATCTGAGGGCAGTGCTCTAGAGTCCTAGAATCCTTGTTGTGCCTTCCATCTGGCCACCATATATGTCCCCCATCCCGTGCTGCCTCTCAGCTCAGTACCCATGCCATTTAGTTGCAGCAAGCTCAGATATGTGAATGAGACCTTTTCCTTTCACCATGGTTCTCTGCCCTCTTGACCATTCTAGATTAGCATAAACCTGCCCCATCCTGGGGAGTGGAGCAAGAACCCCTCTGCCTTGGAATTTCCTGTCCCCGTCTTAGTCACCTCATCCTTCCCATCAGCCTGCTACAATATTGAAATACATCTGAGATCATCTATGTACACCCTCAAGCCTTGTTTCCCCTTTTCTTTGTTGTTACTCCTCACGATCCCTTGGGACAGAAAACTTCAGACTTCTCTTTTAATCCCTTCATACCATGCCCTCCTTGTATCTCCAGGCTCATGGCTAAATATTAATGTTCTACATAGTGTGTGATAAGATAGCCTGAGATGGTTGGTCTTTATGAAATAGTATACCTGTTAACCTGTGCAACTAAAACAGATGACGAGGCTGCAGAGAATCTGGATGTAAGGGGATGTGCTCAAGCCCAAGGTGCTGTTGAATATAATTTTATATTTGATAATTCAGAAGACTCAACATCTATATAACAATTTTTAGTCTATGAAATGCTTTTCCCGACATCTTGCTTGTTCACTAGCATGACCCTTTGAGTTACACGTCATTATAATCTATCATTCACAGATAAAGAGACAGCCATGGTGATCAAGGCACTGCCCCAGATCACACAGCTCCTAGGTAGAAAGCTAAGATTTAAGCTGGTGTCCTGACCTGCATTGCTGCCACAGTTCCACACTGATCTCAGGGTAAAGATCAGTTGGGTTGTTCCTGACTGTAAATTTGTTACATGCCTGTTAATAGAAAGCCCTTGTGGAAAGATTGCCGGAGAAACCAGCTTTGTCTAGAGTTATATTTCTTCACATCTCTAGTCTTATGTTCATTCATCCGAAGGCATTAATATTTTCAATTATACCTGCTTTTTTAAGTGGCATCCTTTCAAGTTTCTCTTTTTCAATAACTTACATCCAATTCAAACATTATCAGGTCACTATTTAGAGAGTGATCTCTCAGTCATATTGCTGTCACTAATCCACTGCTTAGAAAAATATTGAAAATGTTGTTAAATCATTTTTAATTTTTTAATGTAGTTTAACATCAACAATAGCTATGTGCTGCTTCTTTAAATGCCTGTCGGTAACAGATAGAGTGTACCCCGGATTTAAATCTGCCCAGTGGCCCAACAGGTATGAAGGGCAGCCCAGCATTCCTTGACAACCGAGGGTCTGATTTGTGGCCAGAAGGGTCAAGTTTGTGAAATGAGCAGAGGAAGTGAACACAGCCGAATGTCCCATCTAGGGATTGTCTTCATATGGTCAGACTTTTTAAGATGTGCCCTCTCTAACTCCATTAACTGATATAACACTAGTTCTGTGAACCAGACAATCATGTACAAGAGAGTGGAGAACAGAAAGGTGGAAGCTCTGTTTCCCTTTATGATAGAGGAAGTCCCATGGAGGAAGGAATATAGTTCATTGATTTGGGAAACAGAAGAAAACTATGAATCTGGGAAGTTCTAGAGAGAGGTAAACTGATAGACTGGGTAACAGGAAACCATAGGAAGAAGAGAAGTTTATTATGTCCTGTGACTTGAAGAAAAGCTTTTGTCTTTCTCAAAGACTTTGTATACTTCTGACCTATGTTTTACATATTATTTTATGTTTTTAAATTTAGCATTATTTGATGTATACTTTCTATGTAGTCACATAGCCTAAATATTTTTAATCCCATTGTATTAATAGTTACATAGTTTACTTAAACATTTCCAGTAAGTCATTTCCAGTTTATTCCATATTAGAAACAGTAGAAACAGTACAAATAAAACCGGAATCTTTCTTTGAGTCCTGGTTCTAAAATTGGAATTACTGGACTATCACATAATTAGTCTTATGTCTGTTTTTCATATTGCCAGGTTGTTCTTTGAAAATATTATTCTAATTTACAGTGTCACCTGCCCCACCAAACAGTGGGTTTTATGATCTTACATTTTTTTTCTCTTTTTATTAGATAAGGCATTACCACATAGCTGCTTCATTTTGCTAAGCTAAACAGTGTGCCAAACATCAGTTTGCTATTTGTAATTTTTCCTGATGGGAACTATATTTATATCTTGTGTTAAATAGCTAAATTTTCTAATTGTTTTAATCTTACTTACTGTCTTTAGCCAATAAAAATAAATATATTGGGGTAGTTGGTATGTCATGTAAATCTATTTTACCCTTTGTATGCAAGCCTGTAAAAAAGGCAGGTTTGAACTGTCCCAAGAGTGGGCTCAGGGCTGCACAGGGCTGGGTTAAAATCAGGGAACAAATCAGCTTGGGTGGCGGGGCTCTTGGCTGTCCTGTCAGGCTGGGAGTGTCGTAGAGGTGCTGGAGTTGATAATGGAAAAATGGTAATATTTTATAAAAATAATAAGTATCAATTTAAGTCATATCAAGAAATGGGCTAGAAATCAAAGGCAAGTATGGGATGAAAATACTCTTTTGCAATTGGCTTAGGCTTTCCCAACATCCTGCCCTCATCTCAGAGCATCAAGCAAACTGGAACATGCAGGCAGATCCTAGGTACCCCGCCACTGACTTCTGGGTCCCTGTTCTTTAACCCACATGGAATCATAAAAGAACGAAAATTGCTTAGGGTTGAATGTACATTGAGGACAGGGACTCATATCAGTTCTTGCACCACTCCTGCAGTCATTCAGATAAATGCAATGTGTGTGTGTGTGTGTGTGTGTGTGTGTGTGTGTGTGTGTGTGAAAAACATATCCTTATACAAACTTACTTTTCCCCCCACAAAATATCTGTTGGTTTATGTGGTCCAGAGAACTTAAATAGCTTTTTTTAAAAAAATCTCCCTCTAATGTGTGTTTTCCAATTTAAATACAATTCACTGAAATATTTTCTTTCTAGTCTCCAGAGAATACAGAGGGCAAGGATGGATCCAAAGTAACTAAACAGGAGGTAAGTGTATCTTTTTGACATCCTGTATTTAATTATTTAACTGGAATTTTTAATATTGTTATGATTGTCTGCATCTGAATGAATACTATTCCTGTACAAGGTTGTTGAGACTACATAGGCCAGAGATAAGAGTGTCACTATGTAGTCTCCCTTGGCTTGGGTATATTTCAGTCGGTTCACAGATGAGTCATTTTTCCACTTACTGTGTTGTTTATGTTTCTACCTGTGGGTCCCGCTGTCTTGTTAAAGCAGATACTGAGAATTCCTTCTGGGCAAAAATCAAGATAATAGGTAAATTCATCAAGGAGAACAAAGTCTGCCTTTCACAGCAAGGAAATCAAAGACTTCTGATTTAATAAATTCTCTGCTCCAGTGAGTGAATTATAAATTACTTTTTAGGTTTTGAAATTTGCCTAAGAGGAATCATCTCTAAAGTAAAAAACTATGAAAGGATACACAAGATGTCAAAATATTAAAGTTGGGGGTTTTTAATCAGAAAAATTCTTAGGGCTTAAGATAATTAATTAGGCAATAATTCAAAGAAGCTCTGTATTAAAATACAGAAACCTCCAAACAGCTAGGAACTTGGAAGAGATGCTTGCTTTCATTTGACCTTCCTTGGTAATATCATGAACTTCTAAAAGGAGATGGGCGAAAAAGTAGCAAGTGAGATGGTAACTATGGTGACAGCCATTCACTTTTGCACAGAGTTCAGTGTGTTGAAAAACTGCAACTCTTACGGTTTAACTTATAAACTAAAATGGGTCATGAGAGAGATAAAAACAATGTCTAGTTACAGATTCTTTTATTAGGTGATTCATACTGTGGATAATAATTCAGAGGAGTTTATCATGAGAGTAAAATCCCTCTACAGGATTTGTACAGGGAAATTCATTCTGCCAACGGAAAACCTTTAACAGACTCTATAAAGAAATAATTTAAAACCAAAACAAAACTGCCTATAACCACATCTCCACCATCCGTTTACCTAATATTGAGTGTCTAACATTTGGGAGGTGAAGTTTGTGATCCAAAATCAAACCACTATACAAATGCTAGATCCAACCAAAAAATAATGAATGTTAGAATTTTCTTGAAAATGGAAAAATATAATTTGTAGGACAGTTGACTAAGTGTAATGAACCTTAATGTTTTTAGATTTGGGCATGAAATGCATCTGGGTTTGTCCTTAGGGACTGCTATTGAAATTGATCTGTCAGTCAGAAAACCTAGAAACCATTGGATAGTGAAAAGTCTTTCCAGTCCTTCACTAAAAGAAATCAAGCTGGTTAGAATATATAGAAAATAATTTTGTGTATACAACTGTCTCATACATATTATTTTGGCCCCAGAATTTAAATTATTTACAGTACAGTCACACCTTGTTTTGCGACTCACTTTATTGTGCTCTGCAGGTCTTCCATTTTTTACAAATTGAAAGTCTGTGGCAACTGCTGAAGGCTCAGGTGATGCTAGGCATCTTTTAGCAATAAAGTATTTTTATTAAGGTATGTACATTGTTTTTATAGGCATAATGCTATTGCACACTTAATAGACTGCAATATAGTGGAAACGCACCTTTTCTATGGACTGGGAAATAAAAAAATTGTGTGACTCACTTTATTGAGATACTCACTTTATTGAGGTGTTCTGAGGTGTATTTTTATTTTTTATATTATTTTTATATCCTGTTTTTATATTATATATATTATATTTTTGTAACAAAAAACTTTCCTAGACAAGACTCTACCTGTCATTTAAACCATACCCAAATTAAAACTCATGATATTCCTTCAGGACATCAGTACAATTGTTTGAAAAGTGAAAAAGTCAGTGGGTTAGCTGGTGGTTTAGGGTTTAGGGTAAGAACTGTCAGACCGTATGTTGATTTGTTTCACCTCTGCTGAATTGTTTGAATTTTCTAGTCAGGCCATTGAGTATGCACAGCCTTGACTACAGTGAAGGCATCACTTGCAAAGGATTTGAAAAGCCTCTATCCCTGCCATGATATTCGAAGGGGTTGGTGCAGAGCTTAGTATTTGGACAATAAATGACGAAAACAATATATTGCGGTCATTACATTTGGCAGTTTACAAAGCCCTTTCACATACGCTGTTTTATCTGATCCTTACAATAATCCTGAAATGAGGGCAAAGCAGATTCATTCCTTGACAGAAATGTATTGAGCACCTAAAGTGCACCAAGCACTGTTCTCAGCTCTGCAGGGTCCACAGTGAACAAAAGCAAAAATGTCTGTCTTCATGGAACTTCCATTTTAGCAGGAGGGAGAGAGAGTAAAAGAAAATAATCGGATATTTGCTATAAAGAAAAATAAACCAAGGAAAGGTCATAGGGAATGTCAGAGAAGTGCCGTGTTTGTTAATAGGCAGGTGTTATTATCTTCGTTTTCACTAATGCAAACAGTGTCCCCAGAGACGTATGTGATTTTCCCCACATGCCGCAGCTTGTGAATTGCAGAACCAGGAAAGATATCTGAAAGTCCTGATTCAGAGTCCTCTGCCCTTGGGCCCCTTTTGTGGTAATCGCAAAAGGCTGACCATCTAGTGCTTTTTCTCTGCCAAGGCTCTCATTACATCTTCCCCTACCTCCCAGTTTTGCAAAGAAGGTCATTTCTATTTAGTTCCTCATTTGTGTTTGGGAATTAAAAGCAATTCATATTTGGGGTTTTGTTTGGAAGTACGTGGTCAGGCTCAGGAGCATTAAGAAATCTCATTAAAATAAACATACTTGCAAATTCCAATAGAATGGCCCATGTATTTCAAGCTGTATTCAGCAAAGTCCAGTGAGTCTACTTGAATCCAGCTAATCTCTATCCCAGTGAACTCTGTCACAGCAAGATTAGACTTCCATATTGCTTTTTGCCTCCAGGACATAAAAGTAAAAGACTCCATGTCTTTCAGAGTAGCCTTTCCCCACATTCTCTCCAACCCAGGGAATGATCAGCTAATCAGTAAACACTTGCAGAGTAATTCCGTTGTTCCCAGCACACATATACCACAGTGACGAACCCTCACATTGTTCTGTAACTCTCGTGGTGACTTGTCATTCTAAAAGCCTGCCTTTCTTCCTCAGGGACCATTCTTTTGGCCATTTTTCCTGTGGATTCACAATCAATAAATTGAGAGAAATGTTTACTACATTTATTTTTGGAGTGGTCCTGCCCAATAGTCTGAGTCTCAAATGAATACTTTAAATTGGAGTGTTTCAGGAGGAAAAGCCAGCAGTCTAGTCTATTTCATGTCTATTAAATATAGTCCAATCATTTATAGCCTCTAAGGCTGTGAAGGCTGATGGAACTGTCCAGGAAGGTGTACACACTTGCACGTGTACCCAGTTCCTCTGGCTGAGTGAAAGGTTCATCCCAGCCTCCACTATTTGCAGAAGGGGAAAAAAATCTCTTCCGATGGTTCCCAGAAAGGAAAATTTAAGAAAATTCTTTTTTTTTTTTTTTTTTTTTTTAAATATAGCATAGAAAGAAGAGCTGGCAAATTGTAGGCAGGAAGTCATGAAATGATTTTACAGTAAAATGTGTGCTTTTTGGAGATTAGTTACTTTAGACAGCCTAGAAAAAGCAAACTTTGTTTTTGCATTAATTTCTTAGGCTTTTGATTTGGCAATTCTCATACTGGACTTGAATTGTAAAAAAAGTAGTGAGTCTTTGCATCAGAACTGCTTGCAGGCCCTGCAGAGCAGTGTGTTGGTTGGAATGTCCCTCTGGAAATCCCAAAGTGCTCTCTGACATCACCCTCCCTCTTCCTATGTTTGGGTGTTTGCATTGGGAGGGCAGGAGCAAGAGCATGAGTGGGGGAATTTTTCACATGATTTGTCCTCACTTCACCATTTATCAGGACAGCTGGTTGGCAGATAGGGAGGCAGCTATGAGTAACGGTTAACATATTTGGCCCCTTTTCAGGCCTGAACTGAATAGTACCTGACTGAGTACGGGCGTTACTCGGAGATATTACAGATTTGGTTCGAGACCACCACAATAAAGCAAATATCATAATAAAGCAAGTCAGATGAATATTTTTGTTTCCCAGTGCATATAAAAGTTATATTTACTCCCTGACCGGATGGCTATGTTGTCTGGGGCATCATCCCAGGCACCAAATGGTTGTGGGTTCACCTCTCGGTCAGGGTTTGTATGGGAGGCAACCGATTGATGTTTCTCTCTCTCCCCTTTCCTCTCTCTAAAAAATCAATAAAAATATGTCCTCGGGTGAGGATTTTAAAAAGTAAATTATATTTACACCATACTGTAATGTATTAAGTGTGCAATAACATTATGCCTAAAAAACAAAGTACATACCTTAATTTTAAAAGGCTTTATTGCTCAAAAATGCTAACCATCACTGGAGCCTTCAGTGAGTCACAGTCTTTTTGCTGGTAGAGGGTCTTGCCTTGCTGTTGATGAAAACACAGTCATTTGTAAAGTGCAGTAAAATGAGGTAGTGACCTTAGCAACTCTCCCAAGGTCACACTTGCTGTACATGTCTAGTGTTCACCTCCACATTTACTGAGGGGCCCCAGTAGGCACTGGAGCTACAGAAATGTTACAGAAGATAGTCCTGTGCAGGAGGGGCACAGACATGAAACAGATGAGGTGAACAGTGAGGGAAGACCAACGTGGTACTCGAAGGAGAGGGGTTCAGGTAAGGCCTGCTCACCCCTCTAGCATGGAGCCTGCCCTTTTCCTCTCGGAGAGTATCTTCCTGAGCATGCTTATGCCGCCTGCGCCTTGCTGTGAGATGGTGTGGGTAGTTCTTAAGGTCACCCCGAAGCGCCTAAGCTGAGCTCTGGTCAGTAATCGGCGGGTGCACATTGCTCCTCCATGCTCTGACTCCACGTTGAAGAAGCACAGCTCACCCACCTGCTGCCCGGTTTAACTGGTAGTGTTGCCTTTTCTTCAGTAATACCCAGTTTATGCAATTCACCGTCCTGGGAAAGGCATCACACAATTTGGGTTCTGATTCTCAGGGACCTGTGGTGCACTGACCTGATAACCCTAATGGACACCGTGGTATTTCGATGAGCATCCGATAAAGGCAGGCCTCCCATGCTGTGTGCTGCGTGGTGCATACCCTTTCCCTCTGCAGTGCATATGTCACAGTCCCCTGGTCTCAGCACATATGTCACGGCCCCCACTTAGCCTGCACAGTCCCCTCGTCTCAGCACTGCTGCTGGCTGGCCTGAAGTCCAGCTCTGATCTTTCCTCAAGACCCCAGGGTTAAAATTATTAATGAAGGCTCTGGCCCTTCATTTTTTTCTGTAGTTTAAAGAAAGATGAGTTTAGTTTCTTGTGGCTATTTTCAGTAAGAAATTTCTTAGATGTAAAGATGGCAAGAAATATTTCTTCCAGTTTGGCCTGACCAGCTGACCTGGACTGACCCAAGCACAGCTTCAAGAATTTCATGATTCCTTGCACTCATGGCATGGGCTGCTACTGATCATTTTCACTGACCCCCTTAAAAATTATTTGAAACATTGAAGCTATTGTAGTAAGACAAAGTCTGCATCAGGCAGCAAGAATTGGGGAAAAGCTTGAGTTCATTTGTTGAGCAAATGTTGAGTATCTCCCATATGTTGGGTGGCATACTATTCTACTAGAATTAGAGCAGGGAGTAAAACAGACAAAAAGTATGGAGTGTTTACTTCTAGGACATTTTTAAAGAAGGGCAATTGTACTTTTAGAATGTGAAATCCCCTGGGGAGCCATCTTTTGCTGGTGGTAAGTAGAGTATAAATTCTATATGCTTATTTCTGAAATGGTTAGAAGAGTTCTGTTAGTTTAAATTTTCTTTGCCATCTGATTTGCTAACTTGCACCATTGCTGAAGAAAAGATTTCCTGAAAAACATCAGTCTCAACACAGTTTCTCTCTATATTCTCTAAACTTCCAAATTAAAAGAAAAGATTAGTGAACTTTTTACTCTATTTAAACCTCTAAACATACGCATTTAGTAGAGAAATAAATGTGTGTACTTGGTAGCAGGTGAAAGGAAACATTTCTCATTCACTGCCTAAGACTTGTAGTCCTCTTTTCTAACATAGTAACAAGGTCCGGAACTCCCATTGTTTTGGTTTCTACACAATTATCTAAGTCTCTTGCTTTAACTTATAAGCTTTAGTTCCATTCGTAAGGAACAAGAGTCAGACTGGAAAGTAGTTCTTAAATAGCATCTCAATGTTCCCGCTATCAATTTTATCACAAAAGAGTCGAGATTAGGGTTTGGAGCCTAAGTTCATCTTCCTTTTCCATCCTTAATTGGGAGAGGCCATTTCTTTGAACCGTGTGCCCACAGAAACTTCGTCTTGAGCATTAGGGTGCCCAGGGTGACTTGGGGTATTCACTGTACTCACCTAGAGAGGGTGATGGGAGTCATACATTACATTATTTCAACAAATATAAAATACATATCAAGAAAGAACTTTTTAAAATCAACTTAGTTGTGTTTAATCACTAAAAAATATGTATTTTTCCATTTCCTTTGTAGCCCACAAGACGGTCTGCCAGGTTGTCAGCGGTGAGTACTCTAGAACCCCCTTGGTGTTAGTTCCTATGAGTTCATGTTCCCTCTGTCCAGAGCAAAGCTGCAGAAGCAAGATTGTTTCCCTTGAGTTTTTTGTTTGCGTTTTGGTAATTATGTGGGTCACAATATACAGCAAATTCGACCATTGCTGCCAAGCAAGTCCCTTGATCAGATGTGTGGGTGAAAACCAGTGGCCAGCCCCATTACCAAGAATATAAAGCACGGAAGTTGTTTGATATTGCTCGATCTCTGAAACGAAAGAAGTACGTTCAGCAAAGTCATATGGAGCCTTCCGATTCTACCTGTGATGCGCTGAAGTGGACAAGAATCTGATTCTCTGTCTACAACTCATACATTAGTCAGAATGTTCTGAAAGTTATCTGACTCCGTAGACTTTAGCCTCATTTCAGAACTAGGGAGTCGCTGAGAAAGTAAAAATTCCACTTGGACACTTGGAGTCTCCCTCTGTGGGCCAGGCCCAGGGAAGAGGTTTAGATCATTAAAGTAGGGATGGGCAAGGGGCCAAACCTCCGCAGTGAGTGTGCTCCAGCTCTCTTCGCCACACTGTGCTCCTTGCTGGCCCTTGTGCTCCTCCCTGCTGCCCACTGACTGAAGTCCAGTCTTCATTCTGCCAAGACAGGTCAGCCTGTTTCTCTGGTGGAGGATTTTGCTTAAAATACCAGCAGCACTGCCCACTGAGATGTAGAGGAAAGGCATTGACCTCTTGGCTGATCGCTTATATTCCCACACTAGATAGTATAGGAGCTGCAAGCTTCTGTGGCCTTTGGGGAAGCATGGATTTCATCTGTAGCCAACACCCATGCCTAGAACGGATCAGGAAATCCAAACAAAAATGGATATTAGGAGCAGTCACAAGTTCAGAAGTGTAACTGGGTTTGAGTGGAGTGACCAGGGTTTCCCGTGAGTCTGAGCCTTAGGAAGTGATGTCAGAGTCACCAGGAAGAGTAAGTGCTGGGAGGTGCAGTTGTATATGTATACAGGTAATCCAGATTCTCCCAAACCCCCCCGAGATGGTGTGCTCTAATAGTAACTTTCAGCATGGCTCAGGGGTTAGTTTAAACCCTTTTTAGGCTAAACTATAGATTTTACTGAAAGCCATTGTATTCCATGGATGTCTGGCCCATGAAGGGGATAGACCTTGCGAGGCAAATGATACCCAAAATTTAGAACAAGGCTTTTCCTGAGCAACAGGAATCAGCAATATAAGCGCCTGCCACTGAGATCATTGCCCGTGGTGCTGATGCAGAGTCTCTCCAGAGGCCAGTGGGATTACAGACTGAAACCTCAATATTTCTTGTCCCATCAAAACACTTGAATGCTGAGTTGG